CCCTGTGTCCTATCATTAGCCCCCGGAAGACCCCACTTTAAGATCCCCCCCCACAAAAGAAAGAAAGCCCTGGCCAGGTAGAAAAGCAGAACCTACGACCAACAGGAATAACATGTCACTGTACCAAGCTCCAAAGTGGGAGCAGAGGAACCGCAGGTCAGCCTGCCAACGGGGCCAGGGCGCCAACTATTGGAGATAGTATAAGAAACTGCCATTTCGTCAAAATGGACATCTTTTATTTTTTGAACGAAATTGAAACCGAGTTTTTTGGCCGAAAACTCGTCAAAATTTGCTGTTTCTGAGGGTCCAACGTTTTACAAACGCTGGACCCCCTGGCTGTACTTGGACCTAGCTTGAGACCAGGCACCTCCAGGCAAGACTGCCTGGAGGTGCCTGGTCTCAAGCTAGGTCCAAGTACTGCCTGGAGGTGCCTGGTCTCAAGCTAGGTCCAAGTACAGCCAGGGGGTCCAGCGTTTGTAAAACGTTGGACCCTCATGAACAGCAAATTTTGACGAGTTTTCGGCCAAAAAACTCGATTTCAATTTCGTTCAAAAAATATAAAATGTCCATTTTGACGAAATGGTCGTTAAGACTCCAAATTCTCCAACCCAGGAACAGGAAGGGTTGCTTGCTGAGGTGATTGGGGATACCTGCCTCCGATTCCCTCAGCAGCAAACATGTGATCTAGACTTAAAGCACCAGTAAATGGGCACCTGGGCCACGGGCCGGACACCTCAAATTCTGGAGGCGCAAAACGAAACCGCGACCGCCGATCGAATTTATCAATGGCGGGCGCAGCGTTTGACGTTTCGGGCCTTTCGGCGTCACTCATTTTCTTGTGGTGACAAGTTTCGGACTGCAAGGCTGGGGCCGTGTACTTGTGCTTTAATGTAGGCTCTCAGGTAGGCAAGCAAATCAGGCAATTCCTTTTTTTTAATTTTAATTTGGACCATTTCTCGATTTATGTGTGTCATCCTTGCGCAGGGGCCATGCTAATCTTCTCTGTATCGTTCCAATTTTAACAGAATCTGATGTCCCGAAGGATAAATCGGACAATTCTGTAAACTCTACTTCCCTATTTCTGTCATCACAAATTCACAATTATATGTCTGATCAAACAAACAGCTACAATGCTCAGGCAGGGACGCTGGACCCGCTTTCCAGCAGGTGCCGCTCGCGACCAATAGATGGAGCATCCCCGGGAACGCTACCTTCTTCCCCCGAATACAAGTTATACAACGGTCATGATAGCCGTATCTGGACTGAAAGATACCCCAAATTCAGCTATAATGATCGTACGTCGTATTCGGGGGAAGTCTGTAGTGGTGCCTGCTCTTACCAGCACACCTAGTATCCACTCGGGTTGTTCTTTGTATAAAAAAAGAAAGAAAAAAAAAAGGAAAGAAGTAGGACGGGAGTCCCCCAACCAAAGCTTTTACGGAGAAAAAAACGAAGTAGGAGGGGAGAGGAGAAAAAAAGAAAGAAAGAAGAGAGGAGAAAGAAAAAAGGTGAGGAAAAAAAAAATATATTTTTTAAAGTTTTAGAGAACATTTTCCTACTCTCCGTGGGGTCAAAAATCGGCCAAGAGGAAGGAGAGACCAAGAGAAGCACACTAAATTTTACAATGCCTCAAACTAAAAATTTCAGAAGGTAGTAGTTCGAACTGCCCAGTGCTAATTCGCATTTGGCGCCAAGGTGGTGGGGTGGGTCCCCTTTCCATCAAAAAGAAGTAAAATGCCTCCTGAAAAAAAAATTATGAAAGAAAAGAAAAAAAAAAAAAAAGGTGAGGAAAAAAAAAAAAAAAAAAAAGGTGAGAAGAAAGAATAATTTCAAAGAGGATAAGAGAGAGGGAAGAGGGAAAAGACAAAAATGGGGTGTATGTGCCATGAAGTACAAAAGAAGGGGAACATGAGCAAAAAAATTGTAATTTTTTTTAATTTCTTTGTAGTGGGTTGAAATGCAGGACCAAATAAAACAAAAAAAAAAGGCCGGCCCAAAAAAAAACAAAACCAAAAAGACAAAAAAGCTAGGCTACTTGGCTTGCCCGGCCATGGCAGCATGGCTGTGCACCCCGGGCAAGTCGCGTGGGGTTCACCTGCATGGGGCACCTGGTGCAGGCAAAAAACAGCCTTTTTTATTTATTATTATTATTTTTTGGGTGGGGGTTCTCTGCGCAGGGCCAGAGGAGAGGAGACCAAATCCTGGCTCCATTTTTTTACGAGTGTTGCTTGTCAATTGCGGGGGGGGAGAGAGGGGGGTATAAATTGGTTTCTGAGGGGCTTAAGTGTTTTAGAGGGGGTTGCCTTTGGCCGAAATTCAATATGTTGTTTTTGTTCTTATCTTCGATTCCCTGACAAATTCTGAGATACCCCTCAGCCAAAAGTGGTTTGTATTGCAATTCTACACAACATATTTGTTTGCCAGAGCTTTTTTTTTTTTTTTTTTTTTTTTTTTTTTTGGGCGCTGGGACTGCCCGGGACCCTTCCTGGGGTTCATGCCCGGCCGCGCACCCAGGCGTGTATCCGGCCACACATGTGGGTTTCCCAGGCGCGCGCCCAGATATAAACAGCCTAGCAAAAAAGGTAAAAAACTTGAAGAAAGTCTTAGAGTTTAAATGGAAGGAGGGAGGATATATGTATCTTACAGTTGTGGTGGGAAATTTGCCGAGTGGAGCTCTCGATCCATGAAATATGACTATGGGGTATACGAGCAAAATCATAACTTTATGACTGTAGTAAAATGTGGCATAACTTTTGATCCCTTGCATTCCCATCATGACCACAGAAAGCGCGTGTCTTGACGTTTCGACGGCCAGGAGGATTCCGATGATCATGGCGAGGAAGATGACGCATCCCGTCCATCCGACCGCCAAGCCGAAAAACGAACAGTAATGTGGAGGCACTCCCGATGGAAATACTCCATCTACATATTTCCAGTTGGAATGAGCCGTTCGCATAGCGAGTACAAAATTCCACACGAGGTGAGTGAAAGAATGAACGCATGTGGCCACACCGATCACGGAGCCCACGACCTGTTAATCAAGCGAACACAAAGACTCAGCTTGTGTCATTTGAATTGAGCGGCAATTGAATAGTACTTTGAAAGTTCACATTTTTACAGTTTCTATGCGACCATTATGCTAAAAGAAGAAAACTTTTCACAGAAAAAAAAAAAAAAAAAACTTTTTTTTTTCTCCCCAAAAAAGAAATAATACTTTGAAAGCTCACATTTTTAGAGTTTCTATGCGACTGTTATACTACAAGAAGAAGTCTTTTCACAAAAAAAAGAAGTTTTTCCTGAAAAGGGAATCATCTTTTCAAAGGAAGGAAACGGAAAAACATGTCCCAGCCCATTCACAATGTCTGAGAGAGTGTGAGTCCATTCATGGGGACTGAAAGAGTGAATACAGGTGGCGAGCCCGTCCAATGCGTCCATCACGTATCCAGCGACATGTCAAGAAAGTCGTCGTTAGCATGCATTTGGTTTTAGGGACATTGGTAGGTAGGAGAGGGATTGGATTCAGAAGAGAATAAGGGCCTCGCCACACCACTCTCGAAATGTCAAAAAGACAAAATTGTGTCGGTTGGTTGGTGTTCCCCCTACTATAAATAGACTAGTGAGAGGATGAGATAGATGCGTCCTACCAAGAAAGATGAAATAGATTGACAGAAGAATATAGATAATTACTTCAAACAAAAAAAAAAAAAAAAAAAAAAAAAAAATTTGTGTCGGGTGCATCTGGCCATGTTCTAGCGGGAAGTTCATTCTCATTTTGCACATTTCTATGCCCTAAGGAGCAAAATCTTGCCACAGTGGTGGCATGGGCTTTGCTTGGCCGGAGAGCCTTGCTCAGCCTTAGAGCTGCGGAGAACTTTGTGAGGGACGCCGGGACTCCGGGCCCGGTTCCCCGCACAGCTTAAAAAAGAAAAAAAGAAAAAAAGAAAAACGCCGGCCTCACAAACAGACCTCAAGACCGTTCCTCTTTTATATAATAATAAATAAAAAAGAACGAAAAACAAAGGAGGAGATTTGTTGTACATTCTACTATTTTGAGGGCATACGCACACCCGTCTTCCCCCGAACATAACGCACCCTAAAAGTGAATGTATACGAGTTATATTTCCGGCCAGATACAGCCAAAATGTGTTCGGGGGAAGACGGTAGTAGTACTTTCACTTCGCTAAATATGTATTTCTGACCATAGAGGCGGCCAGACCTCGACGAATCTGACGGCAATCGACTCCAGAGCTTAGTAGGAGGTAAAAAAAAAAGTCCTGCTGCGAGTATTATGCCCTCATTCTTTTTTGTTTTGGGGGAAATTGGATCTGCACCCCACTTAAAGATGGGCATAGATGGGAATGGCGTACCTTTCTCTTTTGGCTAAGATCAAGTGTAGTATCCGTTATGTGATCAGTTTAATATCTGATCCGTGGTCCATCGGACCACATAAAAAAAAAAAAACAAAAAAAAAAACGAAAAAAAAAGGCTGGGAATGCCGTCTATATACCCAGTGCCAGCACCAACTTACCCTGTGAAAAGGCAGGAGAGACTCGAACGGTATGATGTACGCTAATTTTGTTGACGACAACTTTCCCATAGTGATCCTGGACATCATGATCAGCACCAGCGCCAGATTGAACTTGAGCAGCTCTGCCGCCGCCTTCGACACACAGATGCCGTGGCTGAACACCTTGTACTCGTCCCTAGCCATCCAATGGAACCAGGTCGTGGTGGCCAGCACGAGGTTGACGACAACGTAAAAGAGGAGAAAGATGATCTGCCGCCCGTAATTCCACCAGAAGTACCTGCTCCTGCTGCCGCCGCCTCCGCCGCCGCCCCCACCTCCATCAGAGATCCCCTTGCCGATCCCGATCCCGATCCCGATCCCGCCGCCGGCGGTTGAAGTCAGCTTTCCATGACGCCCTCGATCAAGCTCGCCGCTATCCTTCACAATCATCGTTTCGCAGCCGCTCTCGAGATCGGGGTCGGGATCGGGATCGGGATCGGGATTGGGGTGTCTTGGACCAGCAACAGCAGGAGAAGCAACAATTACACGTGCGGGATCTCGGTCAGCCGGCAATCCCGCTCCCGATCTGACTACACGTGAAGGATCGCTGATCATCGTCATAGAAATCTGTGGCCCTCCGTCTTGATTCCCCCCCTGCCTGTAGTCCATGCGATCCCGATTCGAGTCCCGATCCCTGTTCTGGATTACGATATCCACTCGCTGGGTTGACGTGGCAGCAGCAGCAGCAGCGGCAGGAGCAGCGAGAGGGAGAGGACGAGGGGGACCACCACCAACCCCATTACATCCTCCTCTTCCTCCTGCTCCTGCTCCTCCTCCTCCTCCGTTCTCTGCTGACGTGGCATGTTTTTCGACTGCACTCGCTGTGGTGTCAATATTAAATGCATTGTAAAAAGAATTCCGATTCGATAAATCTCTCCCAGTGGCACCCACAACCCAGAGGTCCTGAGGTCCTTGGGCTACCTCTGCTGCGCCTGCTGCTGCTGAGGCCTCTACCACCATATCCTTCTCCTCCTGATTATGCCATATCAGCTTCTGCTCATGATGATGATGATGATGATGATGATGATGGTGATGATGATGATGGGAGGAGGGGCACGTGGAGGGCGTGATCATCTGCGTCTGCAGAGTCTGACCTGCATCTGACACGTGGCACTCACCGGCCGGCGGACCTGACTGCTGACATGCCATCGTGTACACCCTGCGCGTCGTGATGGTTGTTGTTCTGTAATCAGCGCTTCCTTCCCCCTCCTCCTCTACCCACCCCTCTCCCTCCTCCTCCCCACAGACGATCGCGACCTCGATCCCGACTCCGGTCCTGACTCCGGCCCTCTCTTGCGCACCTGCTGCAACCCTTGAGCACTCACCGTCTCGAACGGCGTCTTCCTGTGCGCGGTCGGGACCGAGGTCGGAATCGTAGGTCGGCGAGCTCGCATACTTGAGGTCGGCTATGGCTGCCGCCGCTAGCTCTTCCGGTCGCGACGACTCACGGGAGAACCTTCTGCTGCGCCGTTTTCCTCTTCGCCTGGCCACGGTTTTCCTCTTGATGACGTCAACACCTCCGCCGTCAGGTCCCGACGTCCCAGGAGATCCCGATGCACCGGTATCGCTGGCAGTGGACGCCGCTGCCGCTGTACGCGTCCTACACGTTGCCACTGCCACTGCTGCTGCTGATGTGGCATTGATATCCATTTTAGGAAATGTAGGAGAAGGGTAATAAGAAGTGTGGGCGAGGTCGTCTTGTGTGGCGAAGGAAAAGGAGGAGCTGGTACGGTCCCTCTCGTCGCGACGCCGAGCGCTCGCATCGGGATCGGGACGACGATGAAGATCTTCCTGGTCTTCATCTGGATCGTGAGAGTTTTCTTGATGACTACGTCGCGGTCGCACATCCTCCTTGTTGTTGTTGTCGTTGTTGTCGTCATCAGACCACAACGGATAAGGCAGATTGTCCTTATCCTTATTTAATGAACTATTGTCGATGGGATAAGGCAGAAGATTATTATCCGTATTTAGCGATTTAGTATTACGAGATTGATGATAATGACGATGACGTGGCAGCAACGCATCATTCTTGTCCTTGTCCAACAATGAATGCGGCAGATTATAATTAAAATCACCGTTTCTGGCCGGTGGATAAGGCAGATTATCCGTATTATTAGTATTAATATCCGGATAATGTGCCTTATCCGTATCTAATTTGGTATTATCCGTCCTGGCCTGTCGCGTCGGTCTTATCTGATCTGCTGCAGCGAAGCGCGTGGGAGCAGCAAGAAACTGCTGTGGGCTTTCTCCTGAAGGCGGGAGCAGCTGCCGCTGCTGCTGCTGCTGCTGATGATGATGATGATGAGGAGGAGGAGGATGAGTATGATGACGATGCTGCTGCAATGCCCCGCGAAGAGGATGCTGATGATGACCAATCGTCGGTGGTACTAGGTCATTATGGGCATCGGGATCGGGATAGGGATGCGGGGCGCAGGCAGGATAGGGAGCGGGAATCCTTCCAGGAGTGGCGGTGGTGGTGTCGGCAGCCTGCCCTCGTCGTTCGTCCACAGTCGGAGAACCCGGTGTCAGCATGATGCAGCCATCCCAACTTTCGATTGCGACCATAGCCGTACCGTCGGGAGCGGGACTGAGGACAGCCGCTGATGACCTGGACACCGCTGACGTCAACACCGCTGACCGGAACGTTAACTTGGCACGCCCTCGAGAGAATGATGATAATGATGATGTTGCGGCGGGGGCTCGATCTCCGGCCGTCGCCGCCGTCGTGGCGGAGTCTGGCTGCCACGTGTCAGCTTGGCAATGATCGCGGATGCTCGGCTTGGGAGTTGAGTGCGGGCGATGAGCCGGCTGGTGCCACGTGTCAGGCTGAATTTCCGTTTCCCGCCCAGGCTGACGTGTCCGTCGCATCTTCTGTTTGGCTGATGAGTCGTGGATACGCGTCAGCAGTTGAGTTATAGTGGACTCGTTGACTGCAACTTTCCAAATTAGGTTAACGAGGTCGTCAAACTGCAAATTGAATGTCCAGGCACAGCCAGCATGACACGAGGCAGACGTGAGCAAGAGGAAATCTCGAGGAACTTTTTCCTTTTTTTTTTTTAACACACACACACAGCCCCTTCTATTCTGGGGGGCACCAGTTCGGTTGCTTATCCTCGGCGAGCAGAAAAATGAGAACAATTGGACATGAAT